GAACACCAATATAATAAAATAATTAAAAAAAAAAAAAAAAAAAAAAAACAGTGCCAGAGAGATGGCTCAGCAGCTTGCATGCTGTCAAGCCTGATGACCTGGGTTTGATCCCTGAGACTCATGAGACTAAAGAAGAAAAGCAAGTGTCCTGAATTGTTCTCTGACCTCCCATGACATGTATGCAGCCACTGAGACATATATATACAAATAAATATTTAAAAAGAAAAAAACAGGGCTACGAATACGTCCTTGCACATGGCCTGCCTGTCATGTGCAAGGCCTTGGGATGCATTCACAGCACTGGGGTGGAGGAGCCAAACCCAGGCAGGAGAATGACAGGTTCCAGACCAGCCTGGTCTACAGTCTGAGGCATTGTAGGCGACAAAGCAAGACTGTCTGAAAACAAAACAGAAAAACCATGCAAAACAATACAACAGTGACAACTTCAGAAAACAGAGAGAGCAGATGACATGCAGACTGTGGGCGGGCCTAGACTCTAAGTTAGTGATCTGGGTGGCAGGTTTACAGAGAAGGGCGGCTGGGAACACACCCGCCGTCCTACGTAAGGTACAGAAAAGCCTCCCCTCGGCCTGGGATTCCCAACTCCCATCTCCCCCATCACCCCCAGACATCCCCGACTCTGCTTTGGGCCCCACTGTCTAGACCCCAACCACCTCACTGGCAACCGTCCAGTCACCTGTGCCCCTCTCTCTGCAGTGCCCAAAGCAGTGATACCAGGTACAAGTTTCTGCTGGTGGCAGGGTACCTTCCAACCTACTGTCCCAGCAAGCACTGGCCTTGCCACCACAGCTCTGCCCACACATGTGCACTCTGCTTGGGATCCTGTGTGACCTACTGCCCTCAAGCGTTTCAGTCCTCGCAGTCACTCTGCCCAGAATCCTTAGAGTGACAAAGGCTACCCAGCCGCTGTCAATCCATCATCAGACACCCCGGGGCTTCAAATCAAGTTTAATAAATAAAATAGCGTTGGGCAAAGGCAGTCTCACATCACAGTGTCCTCGGTGGGGCGAGGGACGGTCGAGTCCAGCCGCAGAGGCTCACACAGCACCGCTCTGCCAACACCCGGCGGAGCTGCCTGCCCGGGGACCCCACTCCGAACTGTAAACACCAACATAAATAAAATGAGGGAGGCCGAGGACAAGATGGACCCAGCCATCCTGCTAGGAGCCTCCAAAGAACTGAGACCCACAGGACAGGTGGGTGGCAGGACGGCGCTTCCAGAGCTGTGCCCCAAGATGTCCCGAGGAGAGGGGCAGGAAGGGAGCGGACCACCTGCTCCTCACCCGCCTGGGCTGCTGAGGCCCCACCACGGCGCAGGGTGGGGGTGCAGGCAGGAGGCAGTTGGGGTATAAAGTGCGGCTTTTCCTGAAGTGGAGACGGCGAAGGGCCGAGAAAGGGTGGCCACAGGGCGAGGTATATGGCTCTGTGCCCCAAGGTCCCACGCTGAGCAGAGGCTGGCGGCCACAACCCCGCTGTGGTGGGAAAAGAGCTGGCCTGTGGAGGGTGCCTGGGCAGAGGCTGCTGGTGCGGAAGAGTCCTGCCCAAAACCCCAGGCAGCACCGCCTGCCCAGCCTCTGCTGGCTGAGGGGCCATGTTGGGACCGGCCCTCTTTGAACCCAGCTGCCAGGTTGACTCCATGGCACGATGGCAGCCTAGGGCTGTGGCGGTGCTGGATGCTGAGGTCTGGGGTCTGAAGTGCCCTGGCCACTTCACTGAGTCCCATCATGTTCTGAAGCAGAGAAGGCATCACACAGGCCTGCGCGGGAGGGGGTCAGGAAGACTGACGGGCAGGCCTGGCAGTGCCGCCATGTCCATTCTGAGCACACACGCCCACAGATGACCAGGGATCAACAGGTCATCACATTGCACCTATGGGAAACCATAAACAAAGGTCAGTGGCCAAGCAAGCCAGGATTCGACCATCCCAACCCACTGCCCGCACCCAAAACATAGACTGAGGCAGAGTGGGGACCTTGAAAAAGGAGAACACTAAAGAAACCTCAGAGGAGGTACACAGGACAGCTGCAACCCACTGGAGGCAGCTGTGGCCCTGGGCACTGGCCAGCCGCCTGTCCTTCAGCCTGTGGGAGATGCTAAGGATGACACTCACTGTGACAAGGGCTCTGAGCGCAATGTGGAGGCCGGGCACGCAGGATGGCCACTTAGGAAGGGATTCACATCCCCAATGCCAATGAGTCCAAATTCAGTCACCGACAAGGCCATCTGTGCTGGAGCCATGGGCTCTGCAGTGTCCTCGCTCAGATCCACAGGGCTGGACACAAGAGGCAGCTCCTCAGGTAGGGCAAGGTCCACAGCCAGCCTAGGGCTGATGCCTGGCTCTGGAGCAGCAGCCGGTGGGAGTTCAGCTGGGGCAGCCAGGCTGGTGGGCTGCTGGAGCAAGGGTGTGGCAGGGGGCTCATCCAGCTGCTGGAACGAACATGGTCCTGGCTCCAAGGACGGGACATCCTCTGAGGCCACTGAAGGCTGGTCAAGGCCACCAGCTGTGATGTCCACACTCAGAGGCTCTGAGGGGAGAATGGGGAATGATGTGAGCAGAGGCTCAGCTTCCCCTATAGCCTCACATGTTCCTCTCAGATATCACTGATGTGGGGCCTCCTTACAAAAAGGCCAGCTATGCCATGGGCCCAGCCACAGAGACCATACGGTCAGGAGCGGCCGAGGTCCACAGCTTTAGAAACAGACATCAGAAGAGATAAAACATCAGGGCCCTGCTGGGAAGAGTGAATGCTGGATGGTTCCACAAACCCACCAATAGCACACGGCATAACACAGGGAAGAACCATGGAGACATGATGACAGTACACTGAAACGAGGCCTGCGCCAGCAACAGCCTTCAGGAGGGGGATCCCTGCCCGTCCGTGTCTCCTGCAGGAAGGCACCTGTCTCCCCCCAGTCATTGGGTAAAAGAGGGTTGGCATCTGGGGGCAGGACCAAGCAGGCCCACTGCTCACAGCAGAAACTAACTGGTACAGACCTTGGGTTCCTCACCCACAAGCCCCACCTCATGTGAACTCACCCATGGGCACCCCTGCCTCAGACTCCTGCTCAGAGCATAGCCGGGCAGGGCCATCGGGGTCAAGACTGTCCAGGTCCTGCTCGGCATCCCTGTGGAAAGAGAGCTATGAGGAGAAGGAAGCCAGGAAAGGAGGACCCCACTGGGAGGGGCTGCCCCACACACCCCCATACCCACCCTGGCCAGGTGGCTAGCAAGAGCACGTACGTGGTTCCGGAGGAGACAAATTTCCTCCGGCCTAGCCGTGTCTGCTGGGCAAAGTAGTCGTAGCGCTCGGACTTCTTCCACAGGTAATAATACTCCACACACTCGCCCACTGACCGCGTGCGTACCTGTGTGGACCACAGGCAGGCTTTTGGCCTCACTGCAGGCCACAGGAGGCAGGAAAAGGGACCCCTACGGCCCCATGAGACCTCACCTACCGCCTATAGTCCCCACCAGTGACCCATCAACTAGCCCAGGGCTGCCTTTCCCTGACACTGAGCAGCTGCCTCCTGCACCTCAGACCCATGAACCCAGGGCACCTGTGCTGCTCCACATGCGTAGCAAGGAGCACACGGGTACCACAGACAGAGCCTCCAGCCAGAGGCAGCGCAAGTCCAGGATACTGGCCACTACTGTGAACATGGACTTGGAGCTATCCTCAAGACACAGTGCACACTGCAACGGGGCCCACTGCTTCTCATTTGCAAGGACAGCCCCTGGAGACATCACCTCTCAGGCATGTTTGCGAGGCTGGCTCCAGGGTTTACTAGAAAGCCCCCACTGCATACGGGTGGGGTCCAGGACGAATCAAAAGGAAACAAGGCAGCAGAGACCCAGATCTACCCTGTTGAGCAGCCACATAATGTCCCCATCTCCACGGTGCCTGTACCCTAACCACAACAAACAGCAGACATCCTCAAGATGTCTGTGGCCAGGGGTTTGCTCACAGCAACAAGTGACTTATACAGGAAATGGGGCTGAGGGGTGCCGCTGTGTGCAAGACCATGCGGTCCACCAGTGTCTGGGAGAACTACGAAAGAGTGTGGAGCTGAGCTAGAAGCTCCAGGCTCTAGCTCCTAGCAGAGCTTCATGGCCACACGTGAGAGAATCCAGAAGAGCAGAGGGAAACATGCATGGGGGGGGGGGGGGCAGCCAGGAGCTTCCCAAAGGGACAGGCTGGCCCAAGACCACTATGCTATGATTGGCAAAATCCTTAGCTGCCTGTTTGATTTCTGAATACTGGAGTGGGGCAAACTCAAAAGTAGCATACAGAGCTGGGCCTGGTAACACAGGCCTTTAATCCCAGCACACAGAGCTGGACCTGGTAACACAGGCCTTTAATCCCAGCACACAGAGCTGGGCCTGGTAACACAGGCCTTTAATCACAGCCGTCAGGAGGTGAGTTCAGTGCCATCCTGGTCCATATAGTGAGTTACAGAACAGCCAGGGCTACACAGAGAAACCACAGCCTTTGCTACGTTACTTCGTGGGTTCTTCTTTTTCCCACCCCATTTTTCCCCCTCCCCAGTTTCACCCCCTATCACTAGAAAGGAGAGAAACAAGTTTAGAGGGGAGAGAGACCAATCCTTGAATCTGATCTTTGTTTCTTCTTTAAGCACGACTACTAACAACCTGCAGCTGACCACCCTGAACGACCACCGACCACCAACCCTGACTCTCCGGGCCCTAGCATTTACTTACCCTCTGAAAGGTCCCCAGAATCCCGAACATCACACAACTGCAAAAACTATCTGCAGCTGGCAAAAAACATGCCTCTGCTACAGCACAGGGCAAATCAGTAAGCTGCTACAGACCATTCAAAGCAACCTCTTATCCCCACACCTGGGATCAAAATGAAAATATATTCTTTGTGTTTTTTAAAGAAACCAAAATTTCAGAATTCTCACTACAAGAAACTATCTTGAAAAACAAAACAAAACAAAAAAACAATAATAGGCACAGCTGCTCAATGAAAAAATATTTCAAAATGGGAAGGTCTGCTCATTGTGACTGAGGTCATTATAGGGCCCCTTCCTCAAAGCAAGTACCCAGGGCAGTGACTCCCCAGGTCCAGCCAAGGTACAGAGACCAGTGCAGCACTGGCACAGGGGCCACCACATGCGGGGCTGGCAAAAACACGTGGCAGCACCAAATACATGCCGCTGGCTTTGTAGACACAAAACGCAAGGACACGGGGTCATGGAGGCCTGCAGCAACGCCGCGGGGTCCAGAAGGTTCTGGTATGCCACTGGGCAGAGTGCCAACATTGAAGCCCAAGTTCCCATGGAGACACTAGGACACCTGCCAAGGCAAGCTGAAGCATGGGTGAAGCTGGCTACAGTGGTGGGGCTGCCTGAGACCACTGGAGGGCCAGGAGCCCATCATGAGCAGAACATGGGGCGTGGCGTGGGCAACCTGCCATGCGTGAGGTACCTCAGTGGTGCTCAGGCCTAGTCTTCCTTTGCTGTGCAAAAAGAACAGTGAGAGATACCCAGCACCACTGGACAGAAGTACAGAACTTGCAGTTTTGCTTTGGTTTGTTTGAGATTTTTATTTTTTTTTGTCTTGTTTTTATTTTTATTTTTTTAAAATGGGGTTTCTCTGTGTAACCTTGGCTGTCCTGAAACTCACTCTGTAGACCAGGCTGGCCTCCAACTGTGACCCCCGTGTGTGGACTAAAGGCGTGATCTACCATTCCTGGCAATTTATTCATTTTATGTGTATGAATATTTGCCTGCATGTATGTATGTACACCATGTGTGGGCCTGGGGCATATGCAAGTCAGAAGAGGCAGCCAAATCTCCTGGTACTGAAGCTGTAGACATTGTGAAGCACCACGCAGTGCAAGGAATCAAACTGGGGTCCTGTGCAAGGTCAGGAGTGCCCTTAACCCCTAAGCCATATCTCTCCAGTCTTTCCAGCCTATAACTTGTATTCAGATTTGCATCAAGTCTCAGAAGACACTGGACTGCTGGCTTCTGAACAACACAGGACAGGTACAGTGAGTTACAGGGAACTGAACACATTGCCCTCAGGAGCCCTCTAGCAGCAGGAGGAGTGAGACCAGTAAAAAGCGAACTCTGCTGTCCTGAGAGATAGTGAATGTGACAGTGAATCTTGTCACCTTGACTGGATTTGCAGTCATCTAGCTTGTCTGAGAGTCTCCAGAGAGATGTGCCTGTGTTAGAGAACAAGCCTGTGTAGAGGACACCATCCTACAGGTAGGGGCTTGAGGGAATCAAAAGGGAAAAAGCAGAGAACAGAGACTCTGCTCGCAGGTGGAAATTGCGTGTAAGCAGGCCTTCCCTGCCATGGGACAGGCCATCTTCTAAACTGTAAGTGCAGCACACACACCCTCTCTTAAAGCCCTTCTCAGCCAGCATTTCATCAGTGACAGCAAAGGACTGAAAGAGGACACAGGTGCAGTCACAGGGAAGTGACAGACAAGACACAGATGCAGTGAAGAGAAGGGACAGACAGACAAGACATGATGCAGTGAAGAGAAGGGACAGACAAGACACGATGCAGTGAAGAGAAGGGACAGACAGACAAGACACAGATGCAGTGAAGAGAAGTGACAGACAGACGAG